CTAGTAGCGTGTGGTCATCGACCTCATCAACCTTTGATCCATAGTAGTGTCAGTGGTGTCACCTTCACGTTTAAATGCTGTTTGGTTCAACGATGTGTGTTCGCTTTTGGATGGTCTTGAGCCTCATGAGCATGAACTTGATGTTCCACCGATGGTTCCGGCCCGAGGGACCCCTTTTTGCCACTGGCCCTTAGGTGGGCCAGCCTTGCTACGCGTTTCTCACGCCGCGCCGCCATAGGTAGCGCAACCTGGCCTACAAAGGCCATTCGAGACCTCAAGGTCTGTGGAAAAGGTGCTTGGAAGTGCCTAGTGGGGGCTGCTTGGTTTTCGCCTTCGCTTGTGGGTTTTCGACCCTCACCTCCGTTGCCAGTTGTCCCCACGACACTGGTAGCGGAGCCTTGGTGTGCTTCGCTGGCCGCCAAGGCTGCCGAATTTGTTCTTTGGGCCTTTGCAGGTTTTGGAACTACACTTGAGCCCTACATCATTGACGTGATCCTGAACCAGATCCCGCCGCTGCGCCCGCAATCAGTGCTTGAGGCAATCACTGCTTGAGACCTGGCCGAAGCCAGGATGGAACGAGACAGAGACAAAGATTGGTTGAAGTGCTCCTGGGATGGTGACCAGAGCACCTTTGGCGACTACATCCGCCGTGTTCGCCTTGCCTTTGCCAAGACGCCCAAGAAGAAGCGTAAGTTCTTAGGCCCTGAATTGGTTTCCCAGCTCTCTGGCCGTGCCTGGGTGGTCACCCAGGAAGTGGCTCATGACCGCCTGGTTCAGGCGGATGGCGCGAAGTACCTGGTGGAGTTCCTGGAATCCCGGCTCGCTCGGGTACCGGTGCCGGATGCCGGCTCGAGAGCCGAAGATCTTCTGGTGAAGATGAGAAGGGCACCTGGCATGTCAATGTCGACTTGGTGCCACAATGTCCGAGAGGCATACCGCAGGCTCCAACGTGCTTTGAAGCGAGCACGCCAGGAGCAGGAACCTTCACCCTTGTCTTCGCCTACGACCTCTCCGCCTTCCAGGACTCCATCGAGGACCTCCCGCTCATCGACGAAGACCCGATCACGAACTATGTCACCTACCAGGTCTTCGTCCGCCAAGCGCCAATGGCGGAAAGGTTCCAAGGCCACTGTGCCTGAACCCGAGGCCGCTGATGAAGAGTTCGATGATGGGGAAGAAGATGAAGAAGTTCCTGACTCCCCGTTGCACGATGACTTCAACGAGGAGGATGAGGAGGAGAACCTTTCCGAGACCAAGAAGGGCAAAGCTGGTCGCCGATCTCATACCAAGAAGAAGGATTCCTCGACCAGCGAAGATGAAGATGACTGGGGAATTCACCTCTGGTCTGACCTAGACACTGGTCTTCCCGAAGTGCTTCCAAGTGAGATCATCGGGCGGTTGATGCTACGCCGCTCGAATCTCACGTCCCAACAACGCCTCAACATCCTCTCCACCACCGGCAACAGCTTGAAGGAGGATGACATCGAGCGAGCACTTCGAGGAGCTGAAGATGAACTTCGCGCCAACGAGTCTGAGCACAAGGGCAAGGGCAAAGGTGGCAAGAAGCCACGACTCAACTTCTGGGTCGAGCAAGATGGTGAATGGGGCTTGCTTGCCATCGAGGACTCCGAAGGTCAAGAATGGATGGAAGATGGACAAGTCCATTGGGTTGGCACGAACATCGGCCACATCTATGCCCAGACTACTTTGCCGTCTACCTCATCGACATGGGAGGATGGTGACGATGCTGAGGCCGATGGGTTTTGGCATCAAGATGATCGTGGTGGCTACACCTGGTGGCAGCAGGAAGCTGATGGCGAGTTCTACCACCTGGACAATGGTGGAACCTACTGGCCGTGGTCTGAGCAGGCCTTCTGGAGTGCCACCCCCGAGGAGCAGAAGGAGATCCAAGAAGCCTACGCCGCCTATGAGAACAAGGTCCGTTCCTTCACCGACAGCCGGGCCTTGATGAAGCACAAGACCCTGAGCCGAGGGTTCTATCCCAAGGGAAAAGGCAAGAACAAAGGTGGCTTTGGCAAGGGAAAAGGTTTTCAACGACCTCGCCCTTCCTCCTCTTCGAGTTCTTCGACGAACACCGCCTTCGCAGCCCAATGATGTCATGGCCAACTCTGGCAAGGGCTACACTTCAGGATGCTTCATTTGTGGCAAGCCTGGCCACGATTTTCGCTCCTGCCCTGATAAGGTGAAGGGCTCTGGAGGAAAAGGCAGTGGGAAGATCTACATGGTGGAGCCCGTCGACGATACTGATGAGTATGGCCGCTTCACCGTCTTCAAGAACTATGACTCCGTGCCGGCAGCTGTCCCGACCTTGATGGCCGAAGTGGCTGCACCTGATGCTGAGGGCTATGCTGTCCTCGACACCGGGGCCACGGAGAGTGTGGGCTCTCTGCAATCCCTCGAGAGGATTCACCTTCGCAGGACTGAGCTCCTTGGTGATGTAAGTTCGATTGAGGTGATCAGAGGTCCACAGAAGATGTTCAGGTTCGGAAATGGCAGCATGCAACAATCTGAGTCATACATCCACCTCAAACAAAACGTCGGCACACATGAAATCAGCATCGGCATCTACACACTCGATGCGCAAGGAGTGCCGCTGCTGATAGGAGTCCGTACTTTGGACCGATTAGGAGGCATTCTCGACACTGAACAGAGTGTCATGGTCCTGAAAGCAGTTGATCCAACTCTAGTCATCCCACTCAGAAGATCAAGATCAGGTCACCTGTTAGTCAACCTCTGCAGCAACTGGCTTTCGGGCGGCGCCAAGATCCTTTTTCACGAGGCAATTTCCTCACCGACCACTTCTGAGGAAAAAGTGTTCGTCGCCGAGAGCTTTGAGAAGTTCGATGCACTTCACTCCCCCTCATGTCCTTCTTTGAGCACAACATGTTTTTCCACGACTAGAACATCCATTTCACCTTCCCCGCTCACGTCGGCTGTTTCGAGTTCCTTTTGCACTTTGAGTTCATTTGCATGCAGTGATGTTTTTGTGATTGATGAAGTTCATGAAGAAAGCCTTCCAGTCATTGAAGCAGTACATGCCACTTTGCAATCACACACGTCCATGTCAAATGATACGGAAAGTGAGCGCCTTTCATCAGCACTCACGGCACCGACCTTTTCATCTCAAGACGAGCGGACAGGCATGTCCCTGAGTTTGAAGATCCTGGCCGTCCTCAGCTGTTCGACCTTCCTCTTCTCCGACCATGGCCACATCGTCGGCTCCGAGCGCCGCCGCTGGGAAGAAGGAGACAAAGGGCAAGACCAAGGTCGCTCGCAGCTTCGAGGAGAAGTACGACACCAGTCGCACGATTGGTGCGGATCCCAGAGATCCTCGCACGGAGGGATCCCCGTGCCACGGCAACCACAAGGTAGCAACCAGCTATCGTGGCAGTGTCACGGGAAGCAACGGCCATGCAGCTTGGACCGGGTGCGAGGTTTGCAAACTTCGGCTCACCTACACCCCGGCCTTCGGGGCCCATGCCTTGAACCGAGCACCAGGACCGATCCCTCAGGACGTCAAGCAGCAGGTCAAGACCCTGGGCAACGAAGCTGCTCACAACCCTCTTCTTCGAGACCAAGCCATAGGGTTGGACGGGGCCGAAGCGTCCGCTTTGCGCCAGCTGGAGAAGATCCGTGCGAGAAAGGAGACACTGCGCAAGAGTGCCAAAGAGGACAACCCTCAGGAGTACGCCCAGGAGAAGACCACACCACGCAAGAACGAGGGCTACAAGACTCCAGAGGAGATGAGCCACACTCCAGGCCGCAAGGAGCGCAAGTCCGACCAGACGCCCGAGGACCTGGAGTACGAAGGCCGTCTCAAGTCTTCATGGAGCACTATCTCATCGGGTTCTCCGGCAACTCCCGCGGCAGCTTCTCCCAGCCAGTGACCCCTCCTGTGGATGAGGAGCACTCCATCCTCGAGAATGACATGACGGCGGACGAGGACTATGACCAGGACCAGGCGGAGCCCATGATCCTGGAGGCCACCGAGAAGGAGTGCGAGAAAGGAGGACAGGCCAGTGCCGATCTGTCTGATGAGAAGGAACCACTTTATGACATCCACGAGTCAGACACCGAGTTTTTGGACTGTGGCACTGACCTTTTGAACGTGGATGAAGTGGACTTCCTCAAGAATGTGGTGAACGACATCCAGGAGGAGATTGATCACTGCCTCACCTCATGCACCCCAAGCACTTCCGACAAGAAGGCCGACTTTGTTGAATTGCGCTGCGAGGAGCACAGCCTGATGTCCACGGCTTGGGAGCGCACTGGAGGCACTGCAGCTCGCATTGGACTCTTCAACAACTTCAACCTCCTCACGGAGAATGGAACCCAGCGAGCATTGCAGGTGATTGAATCTCACCGACCAAAGGTGATGTGGATCTCATTCCCCTGTGGAGCTTTCTCCTCGATACAGAACCTCAACGAATTGACCCCTGAAGGTGTCGCCCGTGGAAAGATGCGAAGAAAGAAAGCTCGCAAGTTGATCAGGAATGGCATCCGAGTCATCGAACGACACCTCTACCTCGGCGGGGAGATCTTCCAAGAGTGGCCACGTCATAACTCTGGCTGGCAGCTTCCAGAGATTCATGAACTGTGGACCGCCCTCCTCGACTTGGGTCGCTTCGAAGAGATCCACCTGGATGGATGCATGTTTGGACTCTCCACCAAGGATGGCTTGATCAAGAAGCCATGGAGGATTCGCTGCTCTCGCCCTGGCTGGCTGACGCCTTTGGCCAGGAAATGTGATGGAACCCACTCTCACATTCCAGCTCTTGGAGGCACCATTGCCCGACAGACAGCTCTCTATACCCCAAAGCTTTGTCGTGCTGTTTGCTCCAACCTTCAACGAGGACTTCATGAAGCAGCAGCTTTTGGAATTACTGAGGTCCGCTTCAACAAGGAGGATTTGAAGACCTTGACGGAGCAAGAGCTGAATCGGTTGATTGCCACTGCCCTCAAACTCCATCGACTATGCGGCCATCCCAACAACAGAGCATTGGTTCGCAACCTGGCCGCACGAGGAGCTGACAAACACCTTCTAGCAGTGGCCAACGAGCTGAAGTGCCCTGAATGTCATGAAGGTCAGATGGCCGTTCCGGCCGTGAAGGCCTCACTTGAGAAAGAAGAGCAACTCTGGCGAACCTTGCAGATGGACACCTTCCACTTCAAGTATGAGGGCTTCACCTACCACTTCCTCCTGATGCTGGACGAAGCCTCTGGTTTTTCAGTGGTTCACCTGGTGATGTACCACCTGTCGGACGAGCATGCCAACATCACCTCCGCCCAAGTGATTGACACCTTGCAGCGCTGTTGGGGCCAATACTTTGGCCTGCCTGAGCGGATCCGCTGCGACTTGGAAGGATCCTTTCGAGGTGAAATGGTGGAGGATTTTTGCCATTCTCGTGGCATTGAACTGAGCTTCGTCCCGGCCGAGCACCACGAGAGCACAGGCGATGTTGAAAGGATGATTGGAGAGTTGAAGAAAAAGATGAGTCACCATCTCCGCAACGAAGTGGAGAACACCATGAACAAGCAGCTTGCCAGATGTGTGCTGCTCACAACAGGGTAGCTCGCGTTGGTGGCTACAGTCCTGCCCAATGGGCCCTGGGACGTGACTTGGAGGAGCGTGACAACTTGGCCATTCAGACCGCCCAAGGAGATCCAGCTTCAGAGATGTCACGCAACCTTCAAGCTCGACTTCGTGCAGAAGCCACCTACCGCAAGCTCCAGTCTGAAGCCAAGATCTCACGAGCCCTGAACTCCCGGCCTCAGAGATCGACACAGTTCCTGCCTGGAGACCTGGTCTACTTCAGGCGATGGAAGGTGCCAAAAGAGAAGCCGGCTCATGCCTATTTGGACAGTCCGTCCATGAAGGTGGCTCGATTCTATGGCCCTGCTCGTGTCCTGGCGGCTGAGACCAAGCTCCAATCTGATGGCCTCACCCGAGCTTCCACGAACATAATCTGGATTATCGCAGGAAGCAAACTCAAGAAGGCCCACAGCAGCCAATTGAGGCACGCCTCTGAGAGGGAACGTCTCATTGCAGAGGCGACTGAGGCTCCTACGCTTCCCTGGACGTTTTCAGCCCTGAGCAAGAGCCTGAGCCAAGGTGAGTACGAGGACCTCACCAAAGAGCCGAAGAGAACTCGCACCTCCGCTACCACAAGAACTGCTACTCCATCTGGTCATCGCAGCCGGAGCCGAGGACCACGTGTTCGAGCTGAACCTTCTGAGGTACCTGGACCTTCTCAAGTACCACCTGACGCTCAACAAGCCCCAGCAGACGAGTCAGAAGAAGAGCTCATCCCAGCTGGTCATGACGCACCTCCTGACCTTTCAGCCGAACAAGGCCTCGACCAGATCTTGCAGAACCCACCTCCGGACATTGATGCACAGCGGTTGTTGGAAGATCCAAGCTATATGCCCTTGGAGCCGCTTGAGAAGAAGGACTTCAACAAGCTTCGCCGTGACCATGAACAAGCAGAACGGCCGCTCCACGTGAAATATCCCAGAAGCAACGCTCCTGCCACTCCCTCAGAAGCACCTTCGCCTGCACTTTGGACTGAAGCCATGGGCGAGGACTTCGTGCTTGGCGTCATCATCGATGCTCCCGCCAATGAGAGCGAGTGGAAACGGGTTCTCAAAAACCCTTCAAAATTTGCAGCAAAAAGCGTGCAAAAGGGAGCGGAAGTGGCCTGGGGAAAACTCAATCCGGAGCAGAAGAAGGCCATGGGAGAGGCGAAGCAATTAGAGGTCTCTCAATGGGTCAGCAAGAAAGTCTGTGAACGATTTCGAGGCGCAGTACCAGCCGCCAGACTCATGAAAACAAGATGGGTCCTTGTGTTTAAGGCTGTGGACGGGGATGAGAGCAAAGTCAAGTGTAAAGCTCGTATCGTCCTTTTGGGCTTTACGGACCCCGACCTCGGTGAGCTTGAGACCTGCGCTCCAACGCTCTCTCGAAGATCCAGGCAGTTGGTCTGCAACTTGTCCACGCACAGGCGCTGGAAGCAGATCAAGGCGGACGCCAAATCCGCCTTCTTGCAGGGTGGACAAACTCAACGACCAAGGCAGATATTTATCCAACCGGTTGCAGAGTTAGCTCAAAGCCTTGGCATTCCACCTGGAGAAACTGCCCTCATGCTCAAGGCCGCTTATGGCCTCGTCTCTGCCCCGAAAGAGTGGTTCATCGATGTCTGCAACACCATCACCAACAAGTGCAACATGCAGCAGCTGCGCACTGATCCATGTGTTTGGATCAAGGTGAACAAGGCCGGCCGCACCGTGGGCTACTTCGCCTCGCACGTGGATGATTTCCTGATCAGTGGAGATACTGCTGATCCTGAATGGCAAGCCTCGGTGAAGGCCTTTCGTGAGGCCTATGAACGGTCGCCTTGGGAAGATTCACCATACGCCCATTGCGGCATCAACTTGACCCAGAACCACGACTTCAGCTTCACCTTCGACCACCACGGCTATTGCGAGGAGATCAAGCAGATCGAGATTGACAACTCCAAGGCCGAGATCACTGCAGCAGAGCTGAACCAGGCCCGAGCTGTTCTAGGTGCTGTTCAGTGGAGGACCATCCAAACTGGTCCACAGCATATGGCCAAGCTCTCCTACCTCCAGAGCGCCTTGCCTCGAGGAAACAAGGAGACCTTGCAGCAGGTGAATAAGCTCTGCCGAGAGGTTCACTCTCAAAGGTTCCTGTCCGTTGGCGTGAAGCAGATCGGCGCCAACAAGGACGATGAGATTGGTTTTGTGTGCTTCACCGACGCTGCAGTCGGCAACCGCCCGGACTACTCCAGCACCGGCGGCTACATGGTGGGATTGGTGCACCGCAGCTTTCTCACTGGCGAGAAGGGGATTGTCAACCCGATCGCCTGGAAGTCTGGCAAGTTGGCCCGAGTGGCCAAATCCTCCCTCAGCGCTGAGATCCAGGCCCTCGATGATGGCGAGCAGGAGCTCATGTACATCCGGGCCGAGTGGAACGAGCTGCTGGGAAGGGGCCTTGACTTGAGGAGCCCCGAGAACTCCACGGCCCAAGTGGCCGCTGCCATGGTGGTGGACGCGAAGTCGGTGTACGACGCCGTGCAGAAGGGAGATGGTGCTGCTGCTGGCTTTTCTCTCAAGGAGAAGTATGCTGCTCTGACCTTGATGGCAGTTGTGGAGCAGCTCCACCGGCAGAACACACCCCTCTTGTGGGTGGCGAGCGATGTCCAGCTCGCAGACGCTTTCACAAAGAGCGCTGCAGCCACTCTCTTCGAGCGCTTCCTCATGACCGACCAGACTTGGCGGATCAAGTACGACCCCAACTTTGTCTCGTCCAAGAAGCGCAAGCAGCAGGGACTACTTGACGCGGATCATGAAGATGGCCCTGAACCTGACCTGAACCCGGACGAAAGTTTTCGCACCCTGATGGCAAGACTCAATTCCTCCTCCAGCGAAACTTTTTGGGGCATGTCAGTGGTGTCACCTTCACGTTTAAATGCTGTTTGGTTCAACGATGTGTGTTCGCTTTTGGATGGTCTTGAGCCTCATGAGCATGAACTTGATGTTCCACCGATGGTTCCGGCCCGAGGGACCCCTTTTTGCCACTGGCCCTTAGGTGGGCCAGCCTTGCTACGCGTTTCTCACGCCGCGCCGCCATAGGTAGCGCAACCTGGCCTACAAAGGCCATTCGAGACCTCAAGGTCTGTGGAAAAGGTGCTTGGAAGTGCCTAGTGGGGGCTGCTTGGTTTTCGCCTTCGCTTGTGGGTTTTCGACCCTCACCTCCGTTGCCAGTTGTCCCCACGACAAGTAGCCATGGCCTCCAACCTGGTAGCGTGTGGTCATCGACCTCATCAACCTTTGATCCATAGTAGCCATGGCCTCCAACCTAGTAGCGTGTGGTAGCAATGGCCTCCAACCTAATAGCAATGGCCAATGGCCTCCAACCTGAGAGCGATGGCCTGAAAGAATCCGCTCTTCATAGGCTTCGCATGATATTAACAAGAAGCTACTAGGGGCTCCTGGCCTTACTACTAGGAACAAGGACGCTACTAGGGGCTCCTGGCCGTACTACTAGGAGCAAGTAGCTGCTAGTAACATTGCTCAAAACATATGGACAGATCGTTCCTTTGACACCTTTGGACAGACGCCTTCGGACGGACGGGCGTACGCGCTGCTGGGCCCAAGTGCCACGGTGGATGCTGTGTGGTATTTCAGCAAGCTATAGGGACCTCACTGCACAACAAGCTCAGCCGCTGTTCGAGATTGCATTGAGATTCAAAGAGTTGGGAACAGTATGCCATAAGATGAACAGATGGAACGCAGAAAACCTGGACAAGGAAGAACTTTTCACTTCAATAGCTGTCGACTGGTAGAGTTGGAGCTGCTTGATCCGTCATGAGACGTGGCTGCTCTCAGGGAGCTGACATGGGTCATAGTGCTGGAGCTTTGCTGGTTTCTGGGAAACTTGTTGCTTCAAATGGAAACTAGTAGCGATGGCCTCCCCCCAAGTAGCGATGGCCTCCCCCTACATGTAAAAAAATGCATGACGGAGAGTCGGACTTTGTTCTTGTAGTCTTCGATGCCAGTTTTCCTGGGTTCCAGCCAGGTTGCCCGTTCGATTTCGCTTCTCAGCTTGTGGAAAGGTCAACCCTTCGTCTCGCCACCTCATGCCGCTGGTATGCTGATGCCCAAGAGCGGAAGGGGAAGAAAGGGAAGGGACGCAAATGCACAAATCGGTGCCGCCATCCTCACCCTCAGTGCTTTGGTGTCTAGTTTGGCAATTATGTCATTTCTTGCATGCTCACTATGCTTCAGCACGGGTGATTCAGTTGCTGTAGCTGCAGAACCCTGCTTGGCCCTGGTGCCTTCGGCTCCTGAAGTCTGAAGAGTCTTGACCCTGAGCTAGTTGTGTTGGTGCCTTCAGGTCCAGCTTCAGGCGGGACCTCGTCTTTTGTGAAAGTCGAGACATGGGATTTGTGGGATTCCTGATCACCAAGCTTGGAATCAATCCAGACTGGGTTGGGGAAACCGGGTCTTTTCGGTAGGTTTCAGGGCTATGTAGTTTTGGGGTGTGAGGTGATCTTCCAAGTCACCTCAAAAGGATTCTCTGAAAAAAATCCAGAGACGAGACTGAGATGAACACTGCATCGTCAGCTCATCCTCACAGCGCTGGGGTCCACTTCTCAATTTCCGGCTGAACAGAGAAGCCTCATCATTTTCATCATCATCAGGTCCCTCTCTAGATGGAAAAGACAGACACACCACCCCGAGAACATTGGTGAGCTCCCGAGTGAAATGCTTGAGAGTCATCCTTCTGAAAGAGACACGCCGACCCGCTTCTTTGGGTCTAAGTCTTAGACGACCTCGCTGCAGTCCTTCCCACCGAGCCGCTGAGTCCAGCCGCCTCGGCTCCTCCAGGGAGACCCAACGAGCCTCCGAGCTCCACAAGGGCCTCAACGTCAACGGCCTGGCCCGGGCACCTCAACGCCGACCGCGGGGAAACCGCGCGGTCTTGGGCGCATGAGGCGTGCTCCTTTTATTCGGATACTTTTTGGCACCGGTGTTCGTGGAATATCTCTGGGTGGTGTAGTAATTACTAGTTGAAGTACTAGGTGTAACCGATATACGTGTTCTGGTATAGATAAACTTCTGTTCAGTTTAGCTTGACCAATGGATGTAATAAAAGATGATGAACGATGAATGAACACCTGTTCTCGCTCGAGATTTGCGTCGCCGAGGTTGGCAATGATAGTCATGAGGACTGAACCTGTGGGTGTTGATGTCACGTGTCCACATTCTCTGGACATCTTCTGTGCCTTTTGGCCTTTTCAGCAAGCAACGGACATAGCTATTAGGTTGGAGCCCATTTCTATTAAGTTGGAAATCGCTCTTAGGTTGGAGGCCGTAGCTGTGTCTTTTGCTTCGTCAGCTGCCGCAGACCTGGCGAACTTTGGCGGCTCACTCCCTGATGGGAACCCGCCTGCTTCTGAGAAACCATGTGGAGCTGACGAAGATCCAAGAAACCATTTTGGAACATGTTGGAACCAACGCTACTAGGAACAAGTGCCACGCTAGTAGTAACAAGTGCCTTACTAGTAGTAACAAGAAGCTATTAGGAACAAGAAGCTAGTAGAAACAAGTGCATCGCTACTAGTAACAAGTGCCTTACTACTAGGAACAATGTTCGCTACTAGTACCATCCATCCACCGGGACACTTTATGACCAATCCTTTGGAGGTTTTCTGCAGGTCAGTGACCAGAGTGACATGAGCCACTCTGGAACTGAGTGACTGCAGCAACCTTCTTCAAGTCAATTAGCATGGATGGTACCACCCTCTAGCATCGCCTTAAGATGTACATGGTAGTTTCTACTAGCTTCTTGTTACTAGTAGCGAACATGTACATGTAACATCCTGAGCTGCCCATCTTGCCGAGGTGATCAGACCATCCTGTATGGCTCAGCACGAAGCCACGACTTGCGACACCTGCAAGTTGCAGAGGTGCCAAAACGGGGAGTCGCAAGGGGCAGAGCGAACTGCGAATCTCAAGTGGCACTTGTTACTAGTAGCGATGCACTTGTTTGTAATAGCTTTTTGTTACTACTAGTAAGGCACTTGTTACTAATAGCGAGGCACTTGTTACTAATAGCACTTGGATCTCCAACCAGCCAAGGGTGTTTGTCCCGTGTAGATCTGTCCGGTGCTCCGGAAGACCATCGGTGACGACACCAGTGTTCACTCCGCAGCTGGCTCTGAATAGAAAAAGGTAGAACGCAAAAAATATGACATAACTAGACCGATTCAGTCAGCAAAGGCTTCATGACCCGTCGGCGCCTCGCCTCGCGAGGTCACCGGGTTTCCCAACTTCATGCAACGGTCGCTTTCCGACGCTTGTGGCATGATGAGGGGAGGGTCTGGCAATGAACCGGTTTATCTTGTTTGGGAGCAAGGAGGGTTTTAATTACCCTACTCTTGGTCATCCAGAAGGCTCACTGTTGTAGATGCCATTGTATTGTGCTTGTTTTGGTGTCTGTTGAGAAGTTCGCAATTTGGATCGGAACGGCCAAGAAAGCACCCCCCGCTGAGATCTTTTCGCGCGCTTCGCGGCGCTGGCTCCAAGGAAAGCACCTTGCGACGCTGGCCCGAGGCCCGAACACTTCAGTTTACCAGCACAGATTCTATTTAAGTAGTAACAAGTGCCTCGCTAGTAGTAACAAGTGCCTTACTAGTAGACAGTAGTAACAAACAGCTGTTAGAATTAGAGCAAAACTAAAGTAAATTAATAGCTTATTGATTCTATTCAAGTCTTGTTTCGACTAGCTTCTTGTTACTAGTAGAAAGGCACTTGTTACTAATAGCGATGCACTTGTTCCTAGTAGCTTATTGTTTCTACTATTTAAGTCTTGTTTCTACTAGCTTCTTGTTACTACTAGTAAGGCACTTGTTACTAGTAGCGATGCACTTGTTCCTAGTAGCTTATTGTTTGTAATATTTCTACTTCAAAGTGATGAGGTAACTTCACCAAAAACTCATAGCTATAGGTTGGAGGCCCTTGCTACTAGCTTGGAGGCCAAATCAGAGAAACGACGTCACGAGAACGGATCACAAAGCTCCCACTCGTCGCTTCGCTTGACGCCACCGGGACTTCGGGTGTTTCACCAGGCGCCGCCGAAGAGCACCACGTTGACGCCACCGGAGGTGGTGGAATCCGGTGACGCTTGGTAGTGGACGTAGTGGAAGATCTCAGCTTTGGTGTACAAAGTCCGAAGTATCCCTCCAATTGATACCTACCCTAGATGTGCAATCAAAAGTACAGCTCGGTGCTCCAAATGTGAATCTACAGGTTTCAAGCCGTGTTTTGACATGTTTTGACACTTGATCTTCCCAAGCAACTGACGATCAATTGCTTCTGAGGACATCCCTTTGAGAACAGCGCTGCCGCCTGCTGGCATCAAGTCAGAGGCGGTGTCCACATGACGGCAAGAGCATCGCGGTTCCACTTGTTTGCCTCTTCAAAAAGAATAAGATCATTTGACATGGTTTCTTTTGTCTGGAAGGTGTCTAACGCGTGAAACCCCATCACCTTCCCGCATGTCCTTTGGACCCAAAGAGCGGGTTCTTCAGAACGCTGCCGTGCAGACTTGGAACCATGCGAAGATCTGCAACTGGTCGGCGGTGAAGTGCTGCCGTCGTCTTTGGAGCGGACGCCGTGGAGAACTTGTGGTGCATTGGGGTTTATATTAATATGCCTGATCACCAGGAGTTTGACACCTTACTGAGAAGCAGGTATAATAAGGAACCCATATTTTTTAAGGATTTGTTTCGCGTCCCTTTTGGGAATTGTTTTTCACAGTTGTTGGTTTGATAGCTTTCTGTTAGCTTTGGCTTTTGGTGGCTTTGGGCTTTTGGCGGCTGTTGGCTTTTGGCAGCTTTTGGCTTTTGGTGGCGTTTGGCTTTTGGTGGCTTTTGGCTTTTGGGGGCTTTTGGCTTTTGGCGGCTTCTGGCGTTTCGCGGGTGTTGGCTTTTGGTGGCTTTTGGCTTTTGGCGGCTTTTCGTGGCTTTGTTTGCACAGCTGCCAGATGTAAGAAGGTATTGGTTTTATCTAGATGATTGCAATTCACAGACGACCATGAGATATTGTGTTATTGGAATCCTTTCGGAGGGAGGTGTTCATATTGATCACTAGCTTCAGACAGCTGGCTAGCTGTTAGGCAACGTCATGCTGCATGTGTCGTTGGCACAAGATCGTTTGACGTATCGGCTCTACAGCGGACTTGCATGACCTCTGTGTGTGTCCGTTCCAGGTTCACAAAGTGCTGCGCCTGCCACGAGGTCTGCACTTGAAGGTTGACGAAGTGCTGCGCCTGCCACGAAATCTGCACTTCGAGGTTCACGAAATGCTCCGCCTGCCGCAAAATGAGCAACTGAAGGTACTCAAAATGCTATGCCTGCGACGGAACCACTATGTGAAAGCGCTACCAGAAAAATAATCCCAAAAAGAGCGCGAAAAAAAGATTCCAAACCGTATATTAAGTGGACCTGTTGCCTTTCGGGCCGCATCAGTTTCTTCATTCAAAGCAGTGAAAGCACCAACGAGCTGGGTGACATGATCCAAGAGGGTGATGTATGAAAGAGATGCAACAGTATTCCAGTCACCACCCGCTGATGTTAGCCAGGTATAATTTGATTGCAGAGCAGGCGACACCCATTCGATCTTGGGATAAGACAGCGGGAACCTCAAAGATTCCGTTGAATGGATTGAAGTTCATTGTCATGTCATGCGGTTCACGATTCATGAGCTAAAAGTGTTCATACATTGGAAATGGGCTTTCGCTTTGGGATTAGGACGTCTTGCCACCTCAGATCTCAACTCTTCATGATGCATTTGCCAGTAACAAAGGCAAGTACTACCAGTAGCAAGAAGATGCTAGTAGCAGGGGCATCGCTCCTAGTAGCTTCTTGCTGCTAATAGTAATGCCCTTTGCGACTAGCGTCCTCTTGCTCCTAGTAGCGATGCCCTTTCCAACTAGTAGCAAGAAGCGACCATCAATTCTCCCATCACCGAGCCCCTCCTCAGGGCTTCATGGCGCTCGGCCATCGAGATCCCACAGCTCCGGGCGTGTGCGGGCTCCACAGCCCATTTCCGGCACGGGGGTGGGAGGTTCAGAGGCGAAAGACGTGGAAGTGGAAAAAGTGCCCAATAGTAGCATCCTTGCAAACTATAGTAGTACTGCCAGGAGCCCCTAGTAGCGTTCTTGCTCCTAGTAGCGATGCCAGGAGCCCCTAGTAGCTTCTTGCCCCTATAGTAGCATCCAATTGCCTTTTGGGAGGATTCGACAGATTGAACTTTAATAGCCATGGTCTCCAACCTAAGAGCGATGGCCTCCAACCTACTAGCGATGGCCTCCAACCTCGCAAAATCCGTTTACAGGATTCGTTGCTTTCCACTTCCTTTTTTGAGTGAGTCGGAGTGTACTTCGACGGCTTTCGCTGCTATGGATGAAGCTGTAGATGTTGCAGATATGGAAATGATGTGAAACCAACAATGGCGGGCAAGACACGGATCTATGTGAAATCGATTTGGTCATAATGACTCGAATACCATCCCGTTGGCTTTGTTCCTGCCATTGATCGACAGTGAATAAACCTACTACTACTACTACTACTACTACTACTACTACTACTACTACTACTACGACCACCACCACCACCACCGCTACCGTTCATGCAGAAAACGGTTGCTCAACAGACGAACTCATGGACATCCAACACAGAAGCCAAGGTGGCTACCACCGAAGGCTCCCTGATTCACCGAAGGCCTCAAGGGAACGACACAAACCGAACGAAAGGTGACTGTCGACGGCAGTTGGAAGGGTTGAGCTTGAGGAAAAGTTCATTTTTTTCGATGTCAATCCTTTCACATGTGTCTTTCTATGTTTACATCGTTTTTCTCTTTTAACTTAGTTAAGTAGAAGACTAACTTGTAAGCTACGAATTGGTTCGCTCCTACATACTGGGCGCAGGATAGCTCGCACTGATTTGTTCACTAGTAACAAGGACGCTACTAGGGGTTCCTGGCCTTACTACTAGGGGCAAGAAGCTACTAGTAGCAAAAAAACTTTCACCTGTGACTTGCTGTGATGCTCCTGGCCATCTCGAGGTGAGTGAGGAAGTGATCGCCCAGCCGCCTAAAGGGCGAAACGAAGGAGGGCGTTTGGCCGTTCGAAAGGGCAAACAGGATCTGCACGAAGCGTGGCCAAAGCTGGAGGATTTGAACGAGGACATGTAGGGATGAAGACATGTGATCCTTTATGTTTCTCCGATCTTTCTTGTTCGGGAACTGTCAGTGTCGCCCTGAATCAGCACTTTTGCTTGAAAGGTTGCGATGGCCTCCAACCTAGTAGTTTCTTGCTACTATAGTGGTCATGCCGCCCTATAGCTACTAGTTCCGTCCTTGCCACTAGTAGCGATGCCCTTGTTACTAATGGCGATGGCCTCCAACTTGTTCTGGGATGTTTTGGGTTGCACTCAGCAGGCTGCAGGGATTGGACAGATCATGACGGACCGTGACGGGCAGCGGTGGCGTGCACCGCAGCCATAAATAGCCCAGTGGCATGTCGTCCAATGCCAAAGGTGGCTGAAGGCGAGATTGTTGTGGAAGAATGCTGTGTGTGTTTGTGGAGGAGTCTTGGAACATGATACTGTAGTTTGATATAGTTTGCATGATGGACGCTCGCTTTGCGAATTCGAGATGTTGTTAGTTGTTGAATGATGCTTATTGTTCAAATTAACCAGTCTTCACTGTCTTCCCTTGATGTTTCTGGAAAAGGCATGGATGAACAACAATTGAACACGGCTTTTGTGCACAGCATGAGAGGATCACCTTTGTAAGTCACGAACACAATTGAGGACCCCCAATTCAACAAAGTTGCCGAAACAAGAAAGCTTTCTAGTAACTAGGTGGAGGCCATCGCTATTAGGCTGGAGGCCATCGGTCCTAGTAACAATAAAGCTCTTTAGTATGTCTTTGAAAGACGTACTAGGGGCAAGAAGCAACTAGGGGCTCCTGGCCGTACTACTAGGAACAAGCACGCTTCTCGTAACAAAAACGATGCCGCCACGTCGCCAGGCGCCCGAGGCCGCGCGTCCGACGCGTTTGACGCGCCATGGCAGCTGAGCGGGGTGAGCGGCGCCCCGAGAAGCCAGGACCGAAGGGACCGCGCCCGGACCGGAGCCGTCCGGAAGAGAATTCGATCGCTCAGAGAGTGGATGAGACTCACAAACTGAAGGGAAACAAACATCAGCCTCCAACTGAAGGGAAAAAATACATCAGCCTTTGGCTCGCAAGAATGGACAGGATGGAATGGTATATTAGGTTCGAGAGGGTTTTTAAGAGGCTCCCATCACATCTTCTTTTGGACTCTGAACGACCAACGACTGGACCAGCTCACCGTCCGGACGCTGACCGCGCCAAGCGTCGGACTGGACTGCAGCGGAAGGCGAGATCACCAAGCCACCAGGCGGAGTGGGTGAGTGGGAAAATGGTTGGACACGATGGACAGGAAGAAGATGACATCAAAACCTAAACAAAAACCAATAACCAAACCAGACAAGCCAAACAAAAAGAATTCGATCAAGAACCTGTGTCAGCGTTCGGCACACTGGCGCACTTCTTTTCCTAGTCATGTTTGGCACTTCAAACCACGTTGTCCTCATGAAAAAGCGTGTTTCCTGTGAAATCTGGAACACCCCTGATGAAAGTCCAGAGCACTCCCAATGGAGTGGTCACAGTTGCGAAAAAAGCTGGACACCCCAGTTAAAATCAGGAGCGCACCGTTCGTAGCGTCCGATCGCTCCGTTCGAGTCGCGATGCCCGTCTTTGTTCCGTTTGGTTCGCGAGGCCAGGAGCGCCCGGTTCGTAGCTTCTTGTTACTAGTAGTACGGCCAGGAGCCCCTAGTAGCGTCCTTTGCTCCTAGTAGCGATGCCAGGATCCCCTAGTAGCTTCTTGTTCCTAGTAGTAAGGCCAGGAGCTAGTAGCGATGCCCTTTGTTCCTAGTAGCTTCTTGTTAATCCGTTACAAAAAGAAAAACAAAAAAAACATTGATTAAAAATCCGTGAAATCTGTTGGATTAAAATTGATTAAACATAGATTTTAAAAAGAAAAGAACACTTCATCTTTTGGATCCCCAAAATGGTTGCCGATGTCCTCCGGCCGATGTTCCACTGACCTCCCGAGGCCGTCGAGCCTCCAAAGTGCAACCCAAGAAGCCTGGAGAGGCGCTCGGCTCGATTGTGTCTACTAGCTTCTTGTTACTACTAGTAAGGCACTTGTTACTAGTAGCGATGCACTTGTTCCTAGTACAAAAGAGGTTTCGCAAGATTTTTATCATCCACATGTGCGGGGCTGGGACTCTGCTGCTAACTCTTCAACATGTTGAAGAGGTGGAAATATGAGGTTGAAGCAATGGCCTCCAACCTACTAGCGATGGCCTCCAACCTAATATAGCCTTTAGCCTTAGCCTTTATCCATGTTCAAGATGTTATTCATGTTTGTTCCATATGAAGTTTGAGCAGACCAAACGGCCAGAAAGTCCCGATCTTTGTGCTGCTCATTCCCCTTTGTGCTGAGTCTGTTTCGGAAAAGTCTAAAAAAACAAACTGACCGAAATCGATGATGAAACAACCGATCGAAGAGTCGTTCGATGTGCCGATGTTGAGGTGAAGCCGACAGATCGTTCAGAGAATGCTGTTACGGCGCGGCTTTTGAAGACGTCCCCTGACTGCATTGGACAAACGATGTCGGGACCATGCCGTGAATCATGCTGGCTCGATACGGTTGTTTGAGTCGATGCGATGAATCTAATATATCTCTGTGGAGGAGTTTCATAACACATCATGTCGTCATGTTCCTCTTCTTCTTACAACAGGTGTTTTTAAGTGCCAAAATATGCCAAACATGTCAGGAAGATGTGCTACTTCTTTGAAAGGGGGAAGTGCGCCAGCCAGGGGGCCTCAGACAATGGCTGTAGGTTTGTCCTCCAAAGAACAGCGAGACGCTGGGCTTCGTCGTTTCGATTCCTTCGTTGGTCCAAGCATGTCGAAGCAGAATTGTCCTTTCTAGCTTCCTTGCTCCTAGTAGCGATGCCAAGAGCCCCTGCCCCTAGTAGCGTTCTTGCTCCTAGTAGCGATGTGTGAAAGAGTGTTGGAAAGCACCGTGGGTTGAGTCAACAACCATCACCACCAACTACATCGACCGCTCGCGCACTGGCTTGGAAGGAGCGGTTCTACTGAACAAGGTACCATCTATCCATATCTATCCTGTCGGCAGCGAGAGCGGCCCGAGTGAGAGTGGGAATAGATGGGCATCCCCTCAGATACATAGTCAAGTCAGACTTCAGTCTCTAACATTTCTAACCACCTTTGGTCAGGAAGCCCCAAAATGGATAACGAAGGACCATGGGCCACACCTATGACCAAATCTCTGAAAACCAACGCCAAACCGCCAGAACATGCCAGAACCTCACTTCTTCCTAGGTCGGAGGGCATCGTTAGTAGGAGCAAGGACGCTACTTTCATCCATTGCCCCCTCGAGCCCCCTTCATTC